AGCCAGGGAGCCGGCGCCTCCGCCCCCTTCTCGGGCTGCGGCGTGAATCACCCGGCCCGGCCCGGGCGGACGGCACGGAGAGGCCCGCGCGTCTCAGTCCCAGGCAGTCCTACGCGCACCTGCCGGACACAGGGATCGAACTCGCTGAAGGATTCGGCCGCGAGTACCCCGTCTCTCCCCGGGCCCCTTCATTTACATACCCTGCTCACTCGCTGCCAATCAGAACGAAGAAGTAGCCACCAACAGCCAATCAGGAAGCGGCGGCAGTAGCATCGCTCGCTCGATCCCCTTCAGCAACCGGCGCCCGGATCGTTAGACGCAGTTCTGACTCCGGCGCACGACTCCAGACTCCTGACTACCCTTAGCGACCGCCCACTCCCGTGGCGGCTCCGCCCCTCGCCCCAGGGATTGGCCCTGGACAGTGATGGGCGGAGCCTTCAGGGGGGCAGGTTGTGAAGGCGGGGAGGTTGGCTTCAGGGCGCATGCCCCGGTGCTGGGCGAGGGGAGGGAGGAGAGTGGAGGTAGTTATTTAACCTGTAGGGCCGTAGCGCGCAGGGCTCTTGCCTCTCAAAGTACAGGTCCCTCACACCTCCCATGCACCTGGCAAACTCAGCAATTGAGCTTCTCAGACACCGAGCCTCAAAAGGAGTCTACACTTTGGGCCAGATATGTCTGGGTTCAAATCCAGACTCACCACTCACTCCATGAGTGACCTTGGAAAATGCTTGATCTTCTTGCCTATCTCTTGAAACTTAGGAAAGTTGAAATATGATTGTATCTGTAAGACCATTATAGCAAACTTGGCAGATACTGGGCGATTGGACTTGATTGGTTAAAGGCAGGAGTGAGATGGGTTTGGCATGTCACCAGAGTGACAAACTGGGTTTAATTCTCTATTTAACTGTGTGCCCTGGGACAAGTGTTTTAATCCTTTAGGGTCTCAGTTCCCTCTTCTCTTTTTTTTTTTAGTTGGAGTCTCACTCTCAGGCGATGCATCCACCTCAGCCTCCCAAATAACTGGAACTACAGGCGTATGCCACCACTCTCGGCTTATTTTATTTATTATAGAGACGAAGTCTTATTATAGAGACGCTGGTCTCGAACCCCTGGGGTCAAGCAATTCTCTCACCTCTACCTCCCAAAGTGCTGGGATTACAGGCGTGAGCCACCCACACCCGGAAGTTCTCTCTTCTTTAAAATGTGGAAAATGTGGCCTGGCTCAAAGGATTGTTTTGAGGATTAAATAGAACAATTCGTGTAAAATGGCATGCAACATGTCTTTGTTAGTTCAAAGGGAATGGGGCTGGAAGTAGACAGGAATTTGATACTTACTGGCTAAACTAGCAATGAGACTTACTTTCTTTAAGTAGCTCATTTGCTAATTCTGGACTTGCATGAAGAACTGTTACTTGTGAATAAAGCTCCTGGCCAAAGTACTCAAAAAATGCTAACTGTAGAGGTTGATTCAGGCAGCCAGCCTGGTGTGGTGGCTCACACCTGTAATCACAGCCCTTTGGGAGGTTGAGGCAGGAGGATCACTGGAATCCAGGAGTTCAAGACCAGCCTGGACAACATTGCAAGACCTAAAAAAAAACAACAAAAAAAGCCAGACATAGGGGCTCGTGCCTATAATCCCAGAACTTTGGGAGGCAGAGGCTAGGGGATTGCCTGAACTCAAGGGTTCAAGACCAGCCTGAGCAACATAGTGAAACCTTGACTCTACAATAAAAAAAAAAAAAAAATTAGCCAGATATAGTGGCACATGCCTGTGGTTCCAGCTACTTGAAAGGCTGAAGCAGAAGTATCGCCTGAACCCGGTAAGTTGAGGCTGCGGTGGTCATGAGTGTATCACTGTACTCCAGCCTGGGTGACAGAGTGAGACTCTGACTCAAAAAAAAAAATAAAAGATTAGTTGGGTGTGGTAGTGTGTGCCTGTAATCCCAGCTTCTCAGGAGGCTGAGTGGAAGGATTGTCTGAGCCCAGGAGGTCAAGGCTATGGTAAAGCAGCCATCCTGCTACTGCACTCCAGCCTGAGCAGAGTAAGACCCCGATTCAAAAAACAAAACAAAACAAAAATCAGGCAGCCATTATCAGTGGGTGATCAAAACCCTTGGGTAAAAGGTTAGTGGGAAACAGGTTTTTTTTCTTTTTTTTTTTAGTTGGAGCCCCACTCTGTCACCCAGGCTGGAGTGCAGCAGCATACTAACCGCTACCACAGCCTCAACCTGCTGGGCTCTGGCGATCCTTCTGCTACTTCCAAGTAGCTGGAAGACTGAGGCATTCCACCACGCCCGACTAATTTTTTTAATTTATTTATTTTTATTTTTTTGTTTGTTTGTTTTTTGATTTGGAGTCTCACTCTGTCACCCAGACTGGAGTGCAGTGGCCGCTCCCGGCCACCGCAGCCTCGACCTGCTGGGCTCCGGCGATCCTTCCGCCTCAGCTTTCTGAGTAGCCAGAATTACAGGCGTGTGCTACCACGCCCGGCTGGTTTTTTGATTTATTGTAGAGATGAGGTCTCGCTGCCCAGGCGGGTCTCGAACAATCCACTCATCTCAGCCTCCCAAAGACGCGGGATTACAGGCTGAGCCACCGAGCCCGGCAATTTTTTGATTTATTGTAAAGACAAGGTCTTGCCAAGTTGCCCAGGCTGATCTCAAACCCTGGGCTCAGGCAATCCTCTTGCCTCTACCTCCCAAAGTGCTGGGATTACGGCGTGAGCCACCATGCCTGGCCTCAGAATATGGGATATTCTACAGCACAATTGGGTTGTGCCAGAAATTCAATGTCAAGAAAGCACAAAAAGGGATGGGGGTGAGAAAGAATGTTCCAGAATAAAATATACTATGTAATCTCTTCATTACAATCAACTTAGCATGTGAGTCTTTATTGGGATCCTGATTTTGGGGGAAAGAAAACAACTATAAAAGATATTTTAGGTGGCTCACGGATATAATCCCAGCACTTTGGGAAACCAAGGTGAGAGGACTGTCTGAGCCCACGGGTTCAAGACCAGCCTGGGCAACTTGGTAAGACTTCATCTTTACAATAAATTAAAAATTAGCTGGGCATTGTGGTGCATGCCTGTAGTTCCACCTACTTGGTATGCTGAGATGGAAGGACTGCTCAAGCCCATAAGGTCAAGGCTGCAGTGGACATGAGCGTGCCACTACACTCCAGCCTGGGTGACACAGCAAGGCTCTGACTCTAAATAAATAAATAAATAAATAAGATATTCTAGGGTCAACTGGAGAGATTTAAATATGAACTGGATGTAGGTGATATCGTGGAATTCTTGATTCTCTTAGATGTAAAATAGTATTGTGGCTTATAACTGAATGTCCTTATTCTTCAGAGACGCCAGTCAGGCTTGGTGGTTCAACCTGTAATCCCAGCACTTTGGGAGGCCAAGGCGAGTGGATTGCCTGAGCCTGCGGGTTTGAGACCCACCTGGGCAACTTGGCAAGACCTCGTGTCTACAAAAAATAAAAAAAAAAAATTAGCTGGGCGTGGTAGCACGTGCCTATAGTTCCTGCTCCTTGAAAGGCTGAGGCGGAAGGATAGCCTGAGCCCAGCAGGTTGAGGCTGCAGTGGCCGGGAGTGTGCCACTGCACTCCAGTCTGGGCGACACAGCAAGACTCCAACTCAAAAAAAAAAAAAAAAGATGTCGAACTGGGCTTGGTGGCTCAGCCTGTAATCCCAGCACTTTGGGAGGCCGAGGTGAATGGATTGCCTGAGCCCGCGGGTTCAAGACCCGCCTGGGCAACTTGACAAGACCTCATCTCTACAATAAATCAAAAATTAGCCAGGCGTGGTAGTGCGCACCTGTAGTTCCAGCTACTTGGAAGGCTGAGGCGGAAGGATCGCTGGAGCCCAGCAGATCGAGGCTGCGGTGACTGGGAGCGGCCACTGCCCTCCAGTCTGGGTGACAGAGTGAGATTCCAACTCAAAAAAAAAACAAAAAAAAAGATGTCTGCTGAGCTATTAAAGGTAGACTGTCAAGATGTCTGCAATTTATTTTATTTTATTTTATTATTTTTGAGTTGGGGTCTTGGTTGCCTAGGCTGGAGTGCCGTGGCATACTCACTGCCAACCCAGCGTTGAACTGCTGGACTCCGGCGATCCTTCAGCCTCAGTCTTCTAAGTAACAGGAACTACGGGTGCACACTACCATGCCCAGCTGATTTTTGATTTATTGTAGAGATGAGGTCTCACCAAGTTGCCCGTGCTGGTCTCAAACCCGCGGGCTCAGGCAATCCACTCGCCTCAGCCTCCCAAAGTGCTGGGATTACAGGCTGAGCCACCACGCCTGGCCAATGTCTGCAATTTATTCTCCAATGGTTCAGCAAAATAAAAAATATACATACATATGTAAATAATGGCAATTTAGCAAAATGTAGCAACTGTTAATTAAATCTAAGTGGGAGGGTATTCAGGTGCTTAGAAAACTTTAATCTTTACTATGTGCTTACATTTTTATTTTAAAATAGGGTAAAATGCTAATTTTAAAAATTTAAGGTTTTAAAAAAATTTTTCTGAGTTGGGGTCTCACTCTGCTGCCTAGGCTGCAGTGCAGTAGCACAATTATGGCTCACACAGCCTTGACCTCCTGGGCTCAGGCGATCCTTCTGACTCAGCCTCCCAAGTAACTGGGACCACAGGCAAGCACCACCACATTCAGTTAATTTTACTTTTTGTAGAGTTGAGTTCTCACTATGTTGCCCAGGCTGGTTTCAAACTCCTGGGCTCAAGCAATTCTCCTGCCTCAGCCTCCCAAAGTGCTGGAATTACAGGCATGAGCCACTGTGCAGAGCTACAATCCTAATTAAATCAGGCTCCTGTTAGGCAAATTCACATAATTCTCTCTACAACCCATTTTTATGGCCTGGCCAAAAAAAAAAGGCTCTGTCTCCAAGTAGCTCGCTTCAGGTCCTATACTGAGAAACTCATGGGATCACTCGATTAACATGTATTTATTGAGCACCTACTGTGTGGTGGACACCGTAGGAGATGATGCAAAACAGCACTGGATTAATTTCATGCAGTCGCTCCTCTCATAGGTCAGAGGATAGGATGGAGAGAGAAAAGGCATGAAAACAAATGCATAGCTGGGATCCGTGGCTCAACCTGTAATCCCGCGCCTTTGGGAGGCTGAGGTGAGTGGATTGCCTGAGCCC